GCCTTTTGGACTGAATTAAAATATTTGTCTGATTTTCCCTACCTTGTGAACTACACTAACTCACAATGATTCCGGTAAACTGGCTGAAAATTCTCGTACATGTTTCTATATTTGGTAGGATAATCCATTTGTTTATTCGTACATTTAGTTTTTTCACTCAATGAATAAACGTTATTGTAAAGGGAAACTCTGAAAGCCGGACTATTTAACCATGCATCTAGGATAACGAACAGAACATCTAATAGCTTGGAATGCTTTTTCATCTTGATATATGAGAAATAATCAACCTTGTCCTCTGAGAGACAAAGGGAATATTAACTTCCACTATCTATATGCAATCACTGAACGTGGAATATAGTATATCATATTATCACTTTATTTACTTTATTGACAGTCATAGATTTTTTATTCGATAAAATTCTCTATGAAATCTTCTATGAAATAGGTCAAGATATATTAAACTAAAATTATTTAACATTATTCGAACCGTTCTATTTTTAGAACCACACATATTACTTACAACATATCAGTAGTAACAAAAATACATTCCAATAGTTGAAATCATGAGTCATTTGAAACCGTGACCAGTGGAGTTCATCCAGGTCTGTTGTGAAATATCACTTCACTGAAGACAATGAGGTACGATCGCGCAATTTTTGGGATTAGTTGAAGTTTAAAAAATTAGCACCGTCGGATGCCTGCCAGCTCAGTGGTCTAGTGGTTAAGCTCTCGCGCTCGAAGCTGATAGTTCCTGGGTTCGAATCTCGCGGAGGGGGTTGGCGGGATCGTGGATCAGCAATACTGAGGAGTCCCATACTAGGACAAAACGGCTGTCCAGTGCTTCTAAGTCTCCCATGGTGGTCTGGCTTCAATTGACTCATGATCTCAACAAATGAAATTACTACAATCTCCATAAAACCCCTTCTGATACTAATCAACATATGCTCACTAGTGACTGGCTTCAAGATATATATCCTCGAGTTCTAGGGACAAGTAGTGACCAGTGGAGTTCAACCGGGTCAGTTGTGAGGTAGTAACTCACTGATGACAATGGTGGATGTGTCGCTCAATGTCGTGGATTAGTTGAAGTTAGACATGAACACCATTGGATTCCGACTCAGTGGTCTAGTTGGTTCAGAGCATGGCGCGAGACTGATAGTTCCTGGGTTCGAATCTCGCGGGGGGGGGCGGGATCGGGGATGCGCACTGCTTAGGAGTCCCATACTAAAACAGAACGACTGTCCAATGCTTCCAAGTTTCTCATGGTGGTCTAGCTTCAATTGACTCATGATCTCAATCAATGAAATTACTGAACTCTCCATAAAATCCCTTCTGATAAAAATACATTCATTTATTAATAGTTTTTACATTTCCATAGGAATTATTCATATTAATCGGTGGATTAGACAGAAAACAATATTTTCAACTATCTTATATTTTTCAACCAATTATCAAACTAAACAGTGATAAAGTAACCAATGATACAACCATAATTAATAGGGATCTATCTTCAATGGATTCTTATCATAAACCATTTGGACATATTGAAATGAAAGATTTAATGGTCTTCTTTCATGCTGCTAATCTATCACAAGTTCATGTACAACAATTAATTACATATTTAGATAATAAAAACAATGGTACCATTGATTTTGTTACATTTTTAGAATATCTTCCTTTATTTGTTGAATCACATCAACATATTATATATAATCCATATTTATATAATAAAAATATATTCAATATATAAAAATAGTTGTGTTTAAATGATGATGATGATGATGATGATGAAGGGTTCGATAAAGGACTTGTGTGAGTTTAGTTGTCATTGATGGATTGTAGTTAGAGTACCATTGAAAACTATTGGATATCAGATATATGTTTCACTTCATATATTAATAACTTTCAGCATTAATGATCCATCCAACGATGGAATACAGAATATTTCATATTTTCTGTTGTGGAGCCCTTTATTTTCTCGTCATTTAGATCGGACGATGTTATCGAAAGGGCTCTCCAGAAAAAGTGGCCCATTGGTCTGACTCCAATTAGATCGTAATGAATGTTTCTTATCGCCTATCCACGTATATAATTATCGACTTAAATCGAGTTAGTCAGTAACGGAATTAAATAAGTCAAATAAAGAGAATGAACTTTTGAATATATATATATTTTGTATATAAAATGAATGGAGTAGAGAGAAGAGAAACAACGCAGAGTAGAGATGGCGAGTAAGTCAACTCCTATGTAGTGAAGAAGAACACGGGTGAGGACAGCCAAATTGTATTTAGGGCAAATTACAGAATTACTTGGTAAAATAGAAGAACCATATAGTAAATCGTTAATTTGCAAAATATCATTCTATCATATCCATTGTCTCGCATTTCATTGTTCATGCGATTTCTTACAAATTCCATTGTTTCTCGTTCTTCTTTTCTTGATCTTCTCCATCTGCTGCCAGACATTGCGTTCTTTTTACTCACGTTATATACTACTTATATCAATATAAGTAGCATGCACCACCCCTATTTAACCAAACATTAATCAATATTTATAGTTACACAAAAGTAAGTTACAAACATATGATGAGTAATGGGATAAGAAGTGTGCACACACCTACGTGCTCATATCAAAACGGTCAAGATTGATAAGCGAATAATTAACAAGGTCAGAATGTGACTCAGGTAGAATGAATAGATTGGGCTGTCCGAAAGTTAGAATAAGGTGTATGGGCTTAATATCATAACCGACACTACACTGCGTTCAACTTGCCATTTAGATTACCCTGGGGGTTACTAGAGAGCTTATCAAACGGAATCTAACATTCGAATAGAAGATTCATCAATGGTATGTTTAGTTTAAAGAAATTTACAACACTGTTTGAATAAAATTTCAGATGGTATAAGCCGAAGACCTAGGCTTTTTTATCCGAAACAACCAATCTTAATGAGTAGATATTAAATATCATAAAAGTGATATATCACCTTCTACTTTATAGCTCGCATGTGATTCTAAATAGACCCGATCAACTGAGATAACATATGATTATTAAGTCATTCTTATCTTCTTAATAGTTAAATCTGTGGTGTGTGCTACTTATATTGACATAAGTAGTATAAGTTTATATATAAGTAGTATATATATAGTAGTCGTGAACAGGTCTGACAGAAGAGAGACAAGAGGATCGAACAGTAAAGAATGAAAACAGGATGCAATTTGTATGAAAATAAAAGAACAATGAAGTCTGAGTCATTTTGAGGCAATTGGTGGACATTTTGCAAATTAAGCATTTATTTTATGATTGTTAGATTTTACTAAGATCTCCTGTAATTTTATGTTAAATACGTTCGAGCGTCCCCATCGGGGTTCTGTTCACTAAATGTCTTCTTTGGAGACAGTTGTGACTTTCAGTACATTAAGTTTATTGAGTTTATACTCATGTCTTATGTATGTTGTGTAATACACAGGTTTTTCAAACTTTAATAGTATTCTACCAATAACAAACAAGCTTGATTTGTATGACTTATAGTAGCTATCATTCCAGGTCTAAAGAACGTCCGTCTTTATTGATTTGCTCTATTGGTGTCCTGACGTCATGGAAAACGGTGCGTAGTTTTGAAAGCGTTTTTCGCACAATGTATTTAATAATGATTAACTTTAGCTTATCTTTACTTCTTTGAATAAGTTATAAGTTTTAGGCTTTCAATCATTCCAAGTTCTCGGAGTGCTAAGTAAAAGTTGTAGAAAAAGATTGAAAGTAAGACATCGATTGCTATTAAAGATCTAGCTTAAAAACGTATGCAGTCTGAAATCATCCGTGCAGGGATAGGTGGATTGCATATTATATCAACTTCCATTTCAATTTCCAAGTTTCAGATTACATCCTAGATCCAAGCCTTCACGTGGGAACAATACTTCTGAACTAAGGATACACTGATTAAGATATAGTCTGGCAGCACTGGTTCTGAAATCCTTAATTTATGGCTATGTTACTTGTTAGTAATCAGGGTTATCCTGTTTTTTGGACTCGCATTGGTTAACTTGATTATCAACAAGCTGAATACACTCTTACTGGTTAAAACAATTTTACATGGACAGCCATTTTGAACTCATTATTTTTACGTTTGACGGTTGTTGTTGCTGTTATATTATCACCTTGAATGTACGCTTAAATCCAACTACTTAGGATTTATCATAGAACCATATATATATTAATAATACATACTAATATACAAATATTTCCGAGTAGTCAAGACAGTCTTGTGACTTGAACAGACCTCGAGTGCATTATTTAAAATGAATCCAACCGTAATTCTTCTGAGTTAGACAAGTTGTTGTTACCCAAATCCAAACGAAGAATGAAGAGTGGATAGTTGACGAGACGAATATATTTGATTATAGGTAATGATACCGCAACGTGAGACTTTATCAATGGGGCTAGTAAAAGTGTTAGAAAAGTCTCACCATAAGTCAAGACGTTATATGATGAAGGTAATTGATCAGGTATCTTTACCCATTACAGTCAATCATAACTAAATAGGTTCAACAAAACCGTTTATTTTAAGGAGTCATTTATCACTACACACTCATCTGTTATGTGGCCAAAGAATTCTTATTTATCTTATGTACACTTAAGTTTCAACTTTCAACAGTTTTTTATGAAATGTACTTATATTTGTATAATTCACCAAAAATAGTTTCCAATTTACCTTGAAAATGCTTTCTAAACACCAATGAATAAACGTTTCTAATCCTCACCCTCATTTTAGTAGATAGTTTAAAATAGAATATCTAAGAGGTTACATCCATATCTGTTATGTCCTTGATCTCTCTACTCACTTTTGGTGCTGAGGATAACTTGTCTAATCTAGATTAAGACCTTGACGTAATAGGCTGACCGGCTTAATATGGAGGCTAGTATGAGTGAGTTCGAAGTGGGGTAGAGAGAAGAAAACTATTCTATCACCTGACAAGCACGCGAGTAAGAGAAGACAAGTCAACTGGAACACTACTCGATTTATTCCCAATTCCGATTTGGTTCCCTATTTCCCGATTTCAGATCAGTGTAAAAAGATACATGAATAAATAGATGACCACAGCATACAATAATTAGGAAAATACAATTATGTCCGAAACTGGGGGTTAGTGTAGAAAATAGGGTACAAAATACTATGTTTAAATTACAATAGCTTTGGAACAAAAAGAGCTATGACAATGAATCATACATCAAACGAAAGCTTATTTTATGTAGAATAGACTAAGGACAAAATAAAATGTCATTGTTTTACAAGCTTTGAATTAAATGAAATAACGTCGCACCCCCCCCAAAAAAAATAGCTTCCGTAGTTTGTCAAAGCATTTTGTTTCTTTGTTCACATCAATATCAAACGAATATAGAATAATATCTCATATAATTTTGGATGTCTAATAATCTCTGTAGAGTGATAAAATCCATTAGTGGTAGCTTGAAAACGTTCTCATCATTACCATTGGAAATTCATACTGTTATTGTTTTGTATTTTTTGTTTTTATAAAATAAAATGATTTTTATTAGTAACATAATTAACTTAGCAACAAACTAAAGATAATTATGTTCACTTTTATTGATTTTCTATGACTCCCGTTCCAGGTAAAATATACATCATAAATAATTGATTATATTGTTGAATTTTGTCACCTGAAAGTTTGTCTAAACAAAAGGTCTAAAAGATGAAAAAATCTGTATTCAATAATTTATTTTTATGAATAAAAAATATTATCACAAGGGGTTTTGTGGAGATTTTTAGTAATTTCAATGGTTTAAATCATGAGTCAATTGGAGCTAGACCACCATGAGAAACCTGGAAGCACTGGACGGTTGCTCGGTTCTAGTCTGGGACTCCTCAGCAGTGCGCATCCACGGTAGACATGTTAGACATTAACACCGTTGGATGCCGGTTCAGTGGTTTAATCGTTAAGCTCTCGCGCGCGAGACTGGTAGGTCCTTAGTTCGACTCTCGAGGGGAGAGGGGTGCTGGATGCGCACTGTTGGGGAGTCCCACACTAGGATAAAAAATATTATAAAATATGAATATGATTATTTGAATAAGTCAACTGTAATGAATTATTAAAGGATATATATATCACAGGTTGAAATCATGAGTCAGTTGAACCTAGACCATCATTGAAAACCTGGGACTGGACGGCCGTTTCGTCCCGGTGTGGGACTCCTCAACAGTGCGCATCCACGGTCCCGCACCACGCGGGGCTCGAACCCAGGACCTACTGGCTTCGCGCGCAAGCACTTAATCACTAGACCACTGAGCCGGCGTCCAACGGTGTTAATGTCTATATATATATATAGGTCACTATCTGATAATTAATAAGGATGTGTAGAAATTAGTCTTCAGGTATTGATCTAGATCAGAAAGCTCCCATTTTTATTACGCCTCAAAGTTTAATGACTAGGTTGATCCTATCATTATGAACCATGTAGCATGGAATCGAGTCATTTTCAAGAATTTATAAAGATGCATATTTCAGATGACCATGCTAATTAATGAAGTAACAGCGAGGCGAACCTAACAACAGATAATTCAGAATAGTCATAATGTGTGTACTTCATCAAAAAACCTGATAATAAAGTATAGTGTATATTGTTCACGTATCCGATTGAAGGTTTAGTCCCTTATGAATCTTGAAACTAATTATGATAAAGATAAGCCATCAATCATTCATATGACGTAATGAATGCTATCTGTCTAGTGAAATATTAAAAGGTACACAAAATGAAACTATTACGAACACAATACCGAATGGTTTATGTATATTCGATTAGGTGTTCAAGTATAGAACTTCTAACTGCTTTCCTTTCACCCTTATAGAACCAAGCTAAGATATGTTCCCGTATCCAAGTTGAAAGCGAGCGCTGGCTATGGCAAATGTACCTTGCTCCACAAGAGCAGGTGAACTGGTAGATGCATATATATATATATATATATATATATATATATATATATATATATATATATATATATATATATATATATATATATATATATATATATATATAGAGAGAGAGAGAGAGAGAGAGAGAGAGATCAATTGCAGACCCAAAGATTGGTGGGATGATTAAAACAAAAAATGAACTAAAACTTCACCTCATTGCATAAGATAATGGCTATCAGGACTAAGTAGATAAGTGGATAACGTGATGACGTTTGAAGCGAGTCGAGGTGTGAACATGAACTCTGAGATACAGACACATCCAGCTGACGAGTCCAAAATAGGGCGAAACGCGTGCCCTGGATTCCAGTGCTAACCACCAACCATATTTGCTTATAATGCTTGTGACCTAGTTTACTATCTTAGTTTTCTTAATTTGTTTTGACCAGTTCAAAGTGTTTATGTCAAAACTATACTGAGTATAATTTGACCTCGACTGTAAAATTACTAAGAAATAAGGAAAACACTGAATAGCTGTTTTGTAGCGGCTGTGCTTTGTCGATCAATCACCATATAATCCTCAACGGTGTTTGGAATCAGAAGGCAAAGAGAAGCAGCGACTACAGTTTTATTAGCAGATAACTCAGACCACAAACCCGGGAGGCAAATGAGTGAGTCAGCGAACCGAGAGTTAGTAGAGTGTTAAATGTACATATATATATATATATATATATATATATATATATATATATATATAGGGAAATGAATGGATCATCGAATCAATTAAGCAGCTAATAATAAAGCTAGAAGAGTGAATATATGCTTATGCGGTAAGCAATGTTCAAGCATAATATTTCATACAAACATAACAATAATAAAGGTACAATAAATTGTTATAGTACTGATGACTTTGTCGGCTAAATAAGTTAACAAAAGGGCTTAACTGAGTTAAATGAGAACAGACTTTATTGCACCTGAGTTGCTATAGTTTTATCCAAGTTTGAAACTCCTTAATAGTATCCGCTCATAACTTTACATATCATCTGGTCAATATTATCATTAGAACTTGTTACAAGAAAGATACGTTGAAGCCTCTGAATTTAAATTTAGTACTTCAGTCAAGTTACAGTCAAACACTATCTTCATATAACTTCATCGATGAGTTATTGTTGTTTGATTACATAACGTTTTCTTCTTTTCTTCATCTTGGAGAAGAAAGTTTCACTGTTTAGGCATTTGAATCGCTATCCAGCTCAGAGAACAAAACCACATGAAACAATTTGTTTAATCTCTTTGGTAAAACTTACTAGTATTGTGTAATACATGTGTCGAACATGCGAATTAATTTTGTTATTCTGTTTCTTGATAATGTCTGTATATAGAAAAAAAGTGTAAAAAGACAACTTGATAATATTTCTCAGCCAAGCATGCATGCAAACAACAATGAGATTAAAGATGTGTGTTGCGCATTATTTAGGACTCCCCAGTTGAATATACCTGGATTATGCTGTTAATATTCACAAGGAGACTTGAAGTTATTGTCTCTCTGTTCGAATGTCCAATGTGTTTTCCATTAAGCGAATAAGTTCACATAATCATCATTTTGTTCAATCCAGATGAATTTTAAATAATTTGTAAAAGTTTGAATTATTCCGTTATTGGTGCTAAGGTCTCCAGTTCATCAGTCTTGTTTCAGCACATATGCATCCTGAGGGGATTGTCTTCATTTGATCATTAAGTTAAAGGCAATTTTAAGCAAAGTTGAATTGTGATTAGCTTGTAACTTAATGGTGATGTGACTACATTCCGTTTAGAATCCACATGCGCCAAAACAACAGTGATCAATTGGATCTTCTAACATTAACAAACATAAGATTCCTACCTTTACAAATTACACTTATATATAAAAATCATTAAAACCTTCTGCGAAAACTGCTGACTTTGGATGATTCATTACTATTAGTGAAATTTGGCTTATGGTTGGTAGGGTTGAACTCCATTTGCTGTAGATTCTCTTAAAAACTCGTCCATCTTATAAATAAATCCATATTTCACAACTTACAATCAATTGGTCTTTGAGCAGTTGTGATGAACGTTACGTTTGTCTAATCATTTTAGTTTCAAATGAGTTATATCGAGTAAGTTACAATGAAGTTACTAGTGTAAGTCACTAACATTGCGTGAATTCTGATGAGATTTTAAATACCGATAGTTAATTTGTAGGGTTAAACATGATTTTTTAAAAATTCGATACACTGGCAGAAACCTCTGCATCAGTAGGCCTCAACATACACAAGGGAAAAACGAAGAAACTCAAATTCAGCACAGAGAACACCAACCCAATCACACGTAATGGAAAAGCACTGGAAAATGTAGAATCTCACACTTATCCGATCAGCATCATCGGTGAATAAGGAGAAATCGAAGAAGACTCAAACGTGAAGATTGGCAAATCAAGGGCCTCATTCCTACAATTGAAGCATATATGCAACTCAAAACAACTTCCAACCAACCAATATCAAACTCACAATCTTCAATACGAACGTTAAGGCAGTTCTACTGTACGGAGATGAAACGTGGAGAACTACAACAACCATCAAGAAGTTACAAGTATTTATAAATGGCTGTCTACACAAGATACTCAACATCCGTTGGTCGGATACCATCAGCAACAGCCTATTGTGGGAGAGAACAAACCAGATTCCAATTGAAGAGGAAATTAGTAAAAGACTCTGGAAGTGGATAGGACATACATTACGGAAATCACCAAACTGCATCACGAAGTAAGCACTAATTTGGAATCCCGAAGAGAAGCGGAAATGAGGAAGGCCAAATAACACAGTACGTCGGGAAATAGAAGCAGCTATGAAAGGATGAATAATAATTGGAAAGAGCTGTGAAGGATTGCCCAGGACAGGATTGGATGTAAAGAGTGCTGGTGAATGGCGTATGCTCCTCCACGAAGAGTAAAAGTCGTAAGTAACTAAGTAACGTAATATTTAGTTACGTGTTCTGAGTATAACTCTGAAACAGTTCAGGGACATACGAGAAGAATTCATCTGTAGTCAAAATTAATTCAACATAATACTATAATGTTGTAGTGACTCACGTTTATCACGAGAACACGACTGGTTTAATAAAAACAATTATTATTACAACCAACTGTACCAGTGTTTGTTTTAATGTGCTTTTGTTTGACTGTGCTAGTGACAGCTATTTTCTGCTTCCTTTCTTTCGCTTACACTTCGATTGTAACTCCGCGCGAATTCGGTTACGTTCTGTAACCAAGCTTGTATCCTGGCACGATCTCGGTATCCTTTCGATGCCACGAGATCGCCAGCTAATAAACCTCGACTTGGTCCATTAACTGTCTTCTGATATTCGGCTTCTCGGGGATTTTATGGAGTCATTTGGAACGAGCTTCTTACGCCTTCTGATTTATCTGGCACGTGTTTCCTGGTAGCGGTGTTCATAGTTAACCTCAACTCGACGCCACGCTACAATTGGTAATCCCAATTCGAATACAATTGGTGATCCCAAAGTTTGGAACACGCCTCAACTTCTGATCAAATCTTCCAAAGAAGCCAATTCGGTGAGTCTATGATTTATCTATCCACGTCTGTCGTATACTTTCATATTTTTTAATATATAATATACGCGACATGACGGATAACGATAAGAATAGTATTAATATAATAGACTCACACGTATGTGTACCGAATCCTTGTCACTTTTTATTCGCGTGATGATGAATTCCACGCTTTATTCGAGAAATGTTACCCTATTAACGATTCTCCTCGCTGACCCGGCTGCTTGGTACGGAATGCATACGCATAAGCATCTCCGTCTACCACCCAGCACCAAATGGTTAAGTTGAACGGTTTCACTGCCAACTTAAAAGTGTTCTACGAGCACACGAAAACGGCAACTGGCACGAAACCATACCGCTCGTTCTTTTAGGGGCGAGAACGAGCTTAAAGGCAGATAACCAATGTTCCGCCACTGAACTTGTATACGGCACGACATTGCGTCTGCCCGGAGAATTCTTCACACCACGGAGCAGACCTAATTTCGGTAAATCAGACTACGTCCATCGACTGTCTGCATTTATGCGAACGCTGCCTCCGGTGTCAACTCGAATACAACATCGACAGGTCGCTCTCCCTCGAGAGTTATCTACCTGTTCACATGTTTTTGTACAAGTAGATTCGGTACGCAAACCTTGGCAACAACCTTACGAAGGCCCTTTTCACGTGATCGCTCGTCACGAAAAGACCTTCAAGGTTGATCGATATGGACGCGTCGAGATCGTCAGCATTGATCGTCTCAAACCAGCACACGTCGATGACAGTGCCCTATCTGACAACCTGAGATTCAATGCTAGACCTAGCAAACCTACTAGCGGGATCCTCAAATCATCTACAGGTCCCACGCTAGATACATCTGAGACCTCATTCTCACGTCCCAGTCAACAGCACGCGTCATCTGCACCGTCTACGGACGAGACGACAGTCTCACGTCCAGATCAGCAGACCACGCCGCCCTTGACTTCGGATGAGATTGCAGGCTCAAGCGACGCGAACGAGACTGCCGTCTCACGTTCCGGTCGCCGAGTACGGTTACCCGTACGCTTCCGCGAATAGTCGCACAGTCAACTACCGATACGGTGTAGGATTATTCCTATACTACACGTATGCTACACTCTTCTTTTTTTGATTTTCTTTTTGTTTCCTGAGCCCACGCCTTCGACCATCTCCGTTTGGTTCCGTCGACTTCAGTCAACTTTGGCGAAAGCTGGATTGGCCACCCACGCTCTTGTCAACGTACTCAGTCGATATATTGGTTTCGAACGCTTGGCACACGCTTGGTCACGAACTTGGTCGTAACGGTCGCTTCTGGTCTTTCGGCTCAACGTGGTTTCGTCCTACGTCTGCAGCGTTTCTGGTGCGCACCTCTACGAACGCCCTCTTCAGATTCTGGATACAAACCACTCTCGTGTAGCATGCCAACTCAAGCAACAAATACAGCACATCGCTCCTGGTACCGTTCTCCGATAACGACCTTCGTTGGCAACTCGACGATCAACGATCGCTTTCCTGTTCGCCAATTCTTCCGTCCTACAATCGCTCATCAGCCGATCAGTCCCACGATTCAAACCGCTATTTATCGAAAGTGTAAACCCTTTCTAGCGGGGGGCTCCTGTAGTGACTCACGTTTATCACGAGAACACGACTGGTTTAATAAAAACAATTATTATTACAACCAACTGTACCAGTGTTTGTTTTAATGTGCTTTTGTTTGACTGTGCTAGTGACAGCTATTTTCTGCTTCCTTTCTTTCGCTTACACTTCGATTGTAACTCCGCGCGAATTCGGTTACGTTCTGTAACCAAGCTTGTATCCTGGCACGATCTCGGTATCCTTTCGATGCCACGAGATCGCCAGCTAATAAACCTCGACTTGGTCCATTAACTGTCTTCTGATATTCGGCTTCTCGGGGATTTTATGGAGTCATTTGGAACGAGCTTCTTACGCCTTCTGATTTATCTGGCACGTGTTTCCTGGTAGCGGTGTTCATAGTTAACCTCAACTCGACGCCACGCTACAATGTAAACAATCAACATTAATGTCACAAAAAGTAATACAATAGATCAATCAGAAATCAGCCTGAATAATAGATACAGCTAACCGACCAAGAAATAGTTTACATTTCTAAGGAATTAAACATACATCATTAGAAGTTTGTGTAACCATTATGAAAATCAAATACTACAGATTACAACATAGATAAATAAAACTGACCTTCAATTTTCATCCTCTCAAGTATATACTTTAAAAAGGAAGCTCCTAACATGTATTCAATTGTTTTTTGTGGAACCTTAAAGTACACAAAATGTTGTCAAGCAATTTAATAATCGAATTCAATACAAATATTTTATCATTCAGAGGTGAAAATAAATCAAATCTAGGGAACCAAAATAATGTGACAGTATTCAAAAAAAGAAAGGAAAGAAGAAAAGAGGTTTTCTCCCTCTCTAATGAATGTTAGACTATTCTTCTATTACTCAACAAATGATTATCTTAGAAGGGTTTTGTGGATATTATAGTAATTTCAATGATTGAGACCATGAGTCAATTGAAGCTAGACCACCATGGAAAACCTGAGAGCACTAGACGGCCGTCTCATCCTAGTATGTGACTGCTAAGCAGTGCGCATCCATGATTCCGCCCCCTGCGAGATTCGAACACAGGATCTATCAGTCTCGCGCTCAAGCGCTTAACCATTAAACCACTGATTATCTATTTGTGAAACTGTGTTAGTATTTTGCTTGATTTAAATTGAATATTTTGGTCATTTATCATTAAATGTTCTTTAACAGGGAGTATAACATATTTCTAAAGTGGTTGATCTTGTAGTTGTAAGGTGATTTTTATGATGGATTAACTTGTTACTTTAGTTGTTTTGTGGTCGTTTGGAGCTTTTCAACAGTGAGCACTTATAAGTTTAGTGAGAATCTATCTATTTGCCCATTGATAAACTTGTTACAAATTCAGTAATCTAACCAGAACCCACTCATATTGGGTAGACTTGTAATCATAATACTGAAAAAATATAGTATCAAAATAGTGTGAAACAGTTGTTTATTAACTTTTAATTGTCATCATCCAAGAGCATGAATTTCAGTTTAATCAATCATAGAATCAAAATGTTCAAGTAACATATACTCACTAAATTTTTTGATTAAGATCATGAACCGATTGATCTTAGACCACTATTGGAAACCTGGAAACACTGGAAGGCCATTTCATCCTATTGTGGGACTCCTCAGCAGTGCGCATTCACGATCCTGTTCGCGGGATTCGAACCCGGGGCCTTCAGTCTCGCTCACGAACACTTAATATACTGAACCACTGAGCTGGCATCCAATGGTGTTAATGTCTAACTTCAACCCATCCATGAAATTGAGCGACCATCTTCCATTGTACTGAGGTAGATACCTGTCTCTAACCGACACGAATTAGCTGCACTGATCACGGCTTCTCACTAGAACTTCGAGAATTCCTTTTACAAAGCTAGTCACTAGTGAGCACTTTGTAATTATCACTCACTAAATGTAGAAAACCTAAATGTCACCAGATAACTTCAGTAACTCATAAAATGACTATTAAAATTAAGGCCAATTTTTGGTCAGTTAGGATATAAGCAACTCAAAACTATCAAAGTTGGATATTGAGGTAACAGTTAAAGTAACATTTATGATTAACGTTAATTGTTCAAATAATCATAGAAGAACACTTTGTAGTCATATTGATAAAAACACTTATGTAGAGAAGAATTGTCTACATTCTTCATTCTAAGTCTTATCAACATGCATAAGTTACCTTAAATTACTTATAAATTGTTTTGAAATATTACAATCGCATTTTAGTACAAGTTGTTTTTTTCGTTCTTTCGTTTTCTCCATCTTCAACTGATAGTTGCTTTTCTCGTTTTTATTTAGTTCTTGATACTCACTTACCTACTTACGCCTGTTACTCCTCGTGGAGGAGCATACGCCATTCACTAGCACTCTTTACATCCAATCCTGTCATGAGCAATCCTTCACAGCTCTTTCCAATTATTATTCATCCTTTCATAGCTGCTTCTATTTCTCGACAAAATGTCTTATTTGGCCTTCCTCTTTTCCGCTTCTCTTCAGGATTCCAAATTAGTGCTTACTTCGTGATGCAGTTTGGTGATTTCCGTAATGTATGTCCTATCCATTCCCATCGTCTTTTCCTAATTTCCTCTTCAGCTGGAAGCTGGTTTGTTCTCTCCCACAATAGGCTGTTGCTGATGGTATCCGACCAACGGATATTGAGTATTTTTCGTAGACAGCCATTTATAAATACTTGCACCTTTTTGATGATGGTTTTTGTTCTTCAAGTCTCAGCTCCATACAGTAGAACTGCCTTAACGTTCGTATTGAAGATTGTGAGTTTGATATTGGTTGGTTGGAAGTTGTTTTGAGTAGCAAATATTCTTTAATTGTAGGAATTCGGCCCTTGATTTGCCAATCTTCATGTTTGAGTCTTCTTGAGTTTCTCCTTGTTCATCGATGATGCTGATCGGACACGTGAAAGATTCTACATTTTCCAGTGCTTCTCCATCACATGTGATTAGGTTAGTGTTCACCGTAATAGTTCTTAACAAGGTATATGATTTTTGTTATCGTGCTTTTGAATTTCGCTCTTAAATATTTATAAACCGCCGTCTTTAAAACTGATTGGTTTATCAGTAAAATATAAATTTATGAAAGAAATTTTATAAGCTATCTATTAATACTACTGATTTCAATAAAAGAACAACTCACTGACACTGTAGTGAATATTAATAAAATAATAGGATAACTATAGTTTATATAATAATTCCAAATTCTTATTAGTTCACTGATCAATTCATTGCCTGAAATTGGCAAATAACAATTGTATTTATTAATAAGGAAAGTAAAATACAAGTACGTGATAAAATGATATATAAGGTCGTAGATGTTATTCAAAGCATACTACTTCTAAATGGAAGCCTGGAAGCACTGGATGGCCATCTCTTCCTAGTATTAGACTCCTCAACAGTGTCCACCCACAATCCTGAATGCGAGAATCAGTGCACAACCTTCAGTCTCGCGCAAACGCCCAACCTCCAAACTTTTGAGTCAGCATTCAGTAGTGTTGGTGTTTAACGTCGAATAATCCACGACATCGCACGAACATCGTCTTCGATGGGTATCTGTCTCACAACCGACAGAGATCAGCTCCACTTATCACGGCTTCTCATTCGAACTCCGAAAATCTCCTCTCGAAGCTGCTCACTAGTAAGCACATTATAATTTTTTGTACGGTTTGTGGAGATTGTTGGACTTCATTTAAGCTTTTCTACTTGTATTCCATTAAACAATCTCATCATTTAGTGTATCGTATAATTAACACCCGATTGACAGAGTAATATCTACTTTCCTATATTGTATTCACTTTACAATCTAAAATGTATAATCAAGTAGAAATAAGCTTCAATTCACAAAACTCATGACAGTACCCTGTGTTAACTTGATATCTTTTTGATATTCCCCTTAACAAGTAAGTTAACAGACTTTCATAACTATTTCAACCAAAACATTTTCAGTGTAACCACAAATTACTTGACCTACCATTTAACTTTTCCAACGGTCTGCGAAGAGTACGCATAGTGTTACGTAACACCTTTTTCTAGTGAAATTCAAACAATATTGTAAGATAAATTATTTAGTGCAAAAATTTAGCATAATAAAAGACTTCCTGTTAGGATGTTCGGAAAAATATACCAATAATTATCATGTTAAGTCTAATGGTGTCCTTGGACTTTAAATGGACATTTCCTATTGGTCAATATTTATTTCACTTGTCCAATATTGTACAAATGTTGTTTCATATTTTATGGTACAATGTGGTCTGGTTTATTGCTATATAAATAGAGTATGTCTGAAATATAATGATTCATATCTCAGAGGCTCTGACTTGCGTTCTGGACTCAACTGGCTGAGCTAGACAGGGAAGCGGGACCAATCGAGACCGTAGGCCGTCCGTACGTAGTTTACGTGTCATTGATCCGATCGATAATTCACTGTCCTCACGACACAACACTTCCCTAAGCAACTATGAATCTAGTTTAATACAATATCGTCTAATTCAATATATAATCCATTTCTTGTCATCTGGATATATGATTGATAAGAAGTCGGTTTTAGCTAGATATCATCATCTTAGAATATTGTTCGATAAAACTGAAATTTCTGAACTTCTAAATTAGTTCCAACCACTACCTAGTTGATGAACGAGGAGGGTGTAGATACATCACCTGTCCGTGCTCCCATGTCTACTCATGATCAAGTGGACCTTAGAACATAACGATAGTTTGAATAGTTTCAGTAGATAATTTGTTTTGTATTCGAACCAATCATTCAAAAATTTATCGTTTTTTAATCTTACTTTGATGTAATATGTTTATAAAATGTTGTATGTTCGCTTTATTTTATGAAACTTCATAGTAATAGATCATGCTATGTCTTCCGATAATTGTTATATCCCAAAGCCGCCAATCAGGAGAAGCGAATTATTGATCGGACCAAGGACGCGTAAAACACGTGCGAGCAGTCTAGAGTCCTGATTGGTCCTGCTTTCCGTCTAGCCCAGCCAGTTAAGTCCAGAACGCAAGTCTCAGCCTCTGCGATATGAATCCTTATATTTCAAACATACTGAGTTTATATACCAATCAAACAGACCACAACGTAGCATAAAATGGAAAACAACATTTGTACAAGATTTGGCCAAATGTGGCTGTGAATGTGGGAGACAGCGACTAATAGACAGGGCATAATTCAAGAATGGTAAAAACGTATAATAGTGGTTCATAGGTCAAAATAAAGTTTATAATAAGAGGAATATGAATATGAATAGTTTAGTTACTTAACAATTATACGATAAAAATATACGTTAAGTATTGGTCCATATAAGGATTCCAAAGTTAACATTCAATATGTTTATCGGGACCTAACAATAATTCCATGATATTAGTACCTTGGAATTATTATTCATTCATGTTTTTTCACCTCATTCTATTGCTAGTTTCTTTATTCATTTATTTAATCATATTGTTGTAAACGAGAACACAAGTGGGGACAACCTAATGCATTTTCATACAACATTACAGAATATCTGAGAACCATACAGTAAATTCTTCATTTGTAAAATATCCATAAATTATCTCAAACTTTATCGTTCCTTCGTTTCCGAAACAGTCACTCTCTATTATCGTTCTCTTCTCTTTGATTTTCTTAACCGTCTACCTCCGGGCATTTCACATTCGATTAGTGGTGCATACTACTTATCTTTGTCGACATCAGTAGTATACACCACAATATCAATAGCTAAAGTAATAAATATTTACAGTAAAATGTAATGGTCGCTAGCAATGGAATATATAAAGCGCGTTTCATTCTAGTTGATATACATCAAATAGATACATCTCAGTGATTATCTTCACAGTGAGACCTGAATACAGTGCTAAGAATTCAGTACTCACTACCTCAGAAAACAATGCGTTGTCGTTTAAAACTAAAATCATTGAACTGGAGTCTCAGTGTGAAAAGTAATATCCAGACAAATCTGTCTGACGTGTCCTAGTCAACCAATAAACTTGTGATTAAATGACATTATCACAGCAGTTTTTTCAAGACGTACATGTACACACAGAGACTAATCATTTATGGATATTTAACATTGACAATGGAAGAATACAAAACCTTACAAATATTAGTTTGAACACTTGCCATGGCATAAAATGATGATCTGTATATAATTTATGAAAAAAAAAACAATTTTTTGACAACCATTAGTTAGCTAATAAGGCAAGTGTAGTCTTTTTCATCAAAAGCAAATTCTTACCGTCTCGTAACTCTCAAAGTTGTTTAATACTCCATTCATTTCTTAGTTGAAGAACTATGAGTGGTACTTATATTTCAACGCACATACAGTAACCGAAGTTGAAAATTGTTACTCGTTGGTTTGTATAGTAACGTCTAAATTACAAATTACATATTTAAAGAATTAATGATCCTTACTGATGTATATTGAATGGACAATGAACTCAACTAAGACTTCTGAATAACCTTTCATTTTCTAATTGGTTATGTAATGAGGGAACAGTGCTTCTGAAACTTTACTAATCACTAGGGACAAACTAAGTTATACTATAAATGAACTAAAATTTTAAAATTTCAGTTACGAAAATCAATGTTGATGAATTTAAGGTACTAAACAGCTTGCGTATTTATGTTTTCATGTCTAATGATGTTTGTGTACATATCTAAGAGGTTTTATCACGGGCATTAATGATTTGTTCAACTTACATCACAATATTCAACAATAGTAGCTGTTTCAGTTCCAGAGTTTACCAGTTGTCTAAATGAAAACAACAATCAATATTCATTAATTTTCATGGAATCATCAATATAATTTAAAACAGATAAAGATTTAATAGTTAAATTCCTGAGTCGATTAATGCTAGATCACCACGGAAAATCTGAAATCACCGAACGTTCGTTTCGCTCTAGTGTGGGACTCCTCATCAGTGCGCATCCACGATCCCGCATGCAAACGCTTAAACTCTAGACCACTGAGCCGACATTCAATGGTGGTAATGTCTAACTTCAACCAATTCACGATATTACGCTACCGTCTACGATTGTCTTCAGTGAGTAATTGCCTCACAACAGACACAACTGATCTCCACTGGTCGTATACGAGAACGAAACGACTGTCCAGTGTTTCCAGATTTTCCATGGTGGTCTAGCTTTAATCGACTCATGAATTCAACTATTAAAAATTACTAGATTCTTCACAAACCCCCATTCAGATAAAAATTTGTTTGGAATGATCAATATTAACACTCGCTTGATTGTAACAAACATTAACGATATAGATTAAATGAAGTTTTCAATGAGCTATAAGATTTGAAATCTTAATTTTACTTCAGTAGTTATGTGAATGTGATTGATTTCACTTGAGTTACCCTGCGGAAACTAGGGACTACTAAACAACTGTCTTGTCCTAGTATAATCTTCATTAGCAATAAACAGCCACAAACCATCAAAGGTTCGAACCGGGGACTTGTAAAAAATCTGATTTATGATCAAATAAGACATATTTTTATTTTATTCTTTTCGTGTAATCAACACGAAACAGTTGACAAAGATTGCAAACATTTTGAAGGTATATATAAGTTTTTCATATTAAATAAGATAAAGTTATGATTCGTAGAGCAGTCATGTAAAGAAACGAAAACAGACCTTATTGTTACTATCCAATGATAATAGAACTAAATGCAATGAACTACTAGCTCTACAATAATGACTTGCTATCATTGTTGAGCTATTGTATATTGTTCAAAATTATAAATGAACAACAATTGAATGTACCTCATATTTCTGACGGCTTCACTGATATCTAGATTTGGTTTACAAAGAATGGTGTTTATTATAGCATTTTGAACACTAAAGAAAATTAAAACAAGAAAGAGAAGTAATATTCAAATTAGATAGAAATATCTGGTGTATATGCTTACATTTCATTGAACATGTTATAATGTTGATTAGAATCATTCTAAATCCTATAAAGATCCCATGTGTATACAATAAGTTAGATATATGTTAGTGACCTATGTTTAGTAAGTAGATTGGTTTGTTAATAAAGATTACTCTACATTATTTTAGTGTCCAGATGAAGTACTTAAAATCTTGAGGAAACTGATATCTGTATCCCTCAGCTCAACGATCTGGTAGGCTTCCATTGAACTATTAATGATGAACGTCAACTAACAAGAAACCTAGGCACAAGGTTTCGTGTAAAGTATCTCTTACTACCTAACATTTCAACATAGCATATTAGATGTTGAATAATTTAAACTGGGGACCATATTTCAACTTTATCGATAAAATTGAAAGAACTAGACAAACACGAAACTGGCTACTACTACTACTGTAGTAAACAAGAACACGGGTGGGGACAATTGAATGTATTTAACACACAATTACAGGACTTCTTAATAAAATCTAACAATCTTAAAGTAAATGCTTAATTTGCAAAATGTCCACCAATTGTCTCAAAATGACTCAGATTTTATTGTTCTTTCATTTTCATACAAATTGCATCTTGTTTCCATTCTTTACTGTTCTATCCTCTTGTCTCTTTGCTGTCAGACCTTCTGTTCACGACTAACATCATATACTACTTATGTCAATATAAGTAGCACACACCACACTACTATACTACCCGGTGAACATATACATATATTCATTTGGTATACAACATTCAAGATTCCATTACGGTTTGTCATGTAGTGTTTTCACGATATAATTTACAACAATATCTAGGAGTTTTGTGAGTATAGCCTAATATTATTCTCTTTCAATATTGGATTTTATTGGCTATTAATTTTTTATATAGACATGTCACTTGGATATTATTCCCCCCCCCATAGTTTATGACTTAACAATCTTATTCATACCTAAATAAATTATATGAAGTATTTTAAGGATGAAAATATTAAATTACTTCATTAAGAGAACACCTAGTTTTTATGATCGAAACATTTAAGTTCATAAATGAAATCAGGTTGAAAGCGAACTACAGATACTTTATTTTGAATAAACAGATTGTTATGTCCTTAGCTTATACGACTATCACGAAACACGATTGCCAATTTTAGATACACTTACTTAGACGATCAAACTAATGACCAATACACCGGTACGAGCAGCTTAGAGTTTTGATTGTTCACTTTTTCCGCCTATCCCTGCTTATTAAGTCCAAAACGTTAATCTTAGCCTCCGCGTTACAAATCATATATTTCAAATATATGTATATATATGTATAATATTAATCCATAAGTAATTCCTCACTGTTACCATTCATTTATTCACTTCCGGATATAGCACAGATTATATATATATATATATATATATATATATATATATATATATATATATATATATATATATATATATATATATATATATATATATATATATATATATAGAATTATCACTGAATAGCATTACACTGGTTAACCAATTTGTTCCCTAATTTTCAATTCTAAATATACAGTATCATTAGAATTGAAAACACTGAAAATCACTTTGAAATTGTCTGGCCAATGTTTAAACACAAGAGTCTACCTAGTAGAAGCCATGAAAATCAAATAAACATGTTGAATTCTTGTAGTTCGTAGGTTTCAATAAAACTAACTGAACAATCTTCATTATTACAGATAAAATTTGTACTGGAAAAGATGAACACTTTGTGATACTTTGATTTCGTATGAAGGATTATGATCGTTCACTGTCGTGAAAAACATTTCTTTTCTCTTCAAACAAAAGTAAGTTCAAAACCTTCTCAAGTGTTAAACGATTTGGTAGACATTTCTATTTAACTTTCTATCATCATTGTAATCCCGGTTAACTTGACAGCATAACTTTGTTTACTCCTTGCATGATAGCAGACTCACCTACATAGTATTTTTTATGTCGACTGGTATAACCGTGTTAGAACTCTAAAACAAATCAATTCATTAATATAGTTGGATTTTAGTTAACAGAAAACTCCAGCAGCCGTATTTCATTCTGTTTGGGACTTTTAAAACTGGCTATACTTTTGTCCTATTGTAAATGTACACACTAACGTTAAAGTCTAATATCTATCCGTTTTATCTAGGTAACCACTAATCTGTTGTGGTGGTCGGTATTCAATATAATCCTTAAACTCCGTACACAGTTCGTCTTGACAACCGTCACTAGATAACGCCCAAACGGTATAATAATCAGAAGGCAAATACGAAGTGTTGTTTATGTTTATTATGGGACCACACACAGATATTCAAAGTTTCAGGTACGTCAAACAAGCATGCGAGAGTTGTGCCGAAAGGCAAGCAGGCAAGCGAGAAAGCGAGTGAGTGAGTCAGCGAATATGAGTAGGAGTAAGCGAGTACAATTAAGCGAGAGAGAGCAATGAACATAAATAACATGGGCATATATATAAATAGTGAAATGAATGAATCATCGAATCAATTAAGCGGTTAGTATTAAGGCTAGCAGCATGAATAAATGTGTAAGCAGTAAGCAATGCTCAAGCATACATGTTCATACATTCGCAACAATAATAAAGATACAATGATATAGATAAGTTGTTGTTGTACGGATGACTTAGTTCGTTATTAAGTTTACAAAATGACTTAACCGAATTAAATGTGAACAAACTCGACTGCACCTGAGTTGCTATACTGTACCAAATGAAATGATTATTATGGATCTTAGATGAGTGCTTCTATCTAGTCCTAAATATCAATGATGAGTTAAGCCCTTTAGAATAAGTGAATTCGAATAATTGTAATTAAAGTTTTTAACTACTTATAAGTAATATAAAATAAAGCAATTAACATTACTAGTCATTACATCTTACATTAACCAAGATTCACTTTGAGACCAATCAAATACTCCAGAATTAAAATTAACACCTAATCTATCATCAAGGTTAGCTCTATGATATTCAGTTTCATTTGAATGGTGCCATTTTTCATTATCATTACTGTCACATTCAAAAGACAGTAAATCATTTGTTGACCAGTATTGATTGTATACAGTTGATTCATTAGATTTCTCCTCTGGAGGATCTTTATTTATTGTAGATTGATTAAATGAATTATTTCCTGATCGTGAATTAAACCGGACAATTTTGTGATTGTAAGCATGAGATCTTATCTATTAATGAAAGGTTAGAAGAAGACGTATGGATAATTATCGCACATATACATGAAATATTTAAGAAGATAATTTTTCTTATTAGACCTATTTTCATATTCCATTTTCTCCCCCTGATGGTTGATGGTTAAAACCTCTGGGAAGGAGTTCATTTATTCGGGTGTTTTACTTTTATTAGTAAATGATAGTTCTAACAGGTGAAAACGTCCTCAGAAACTTGTTTCCAACTCATACTTAATCCGTCTAAATGTCAAGCTGTTAACTTGAGAATGAGACATGAACGACATCTAAACACAATTTGGGGATCCCATAATGCTTGTACCATGAGAGACTCTTTGATAAACACAGTGTCAAAGATCGGTTATCTTAGTGTTACTTTTTCCTCTGATCTCTCTTGGTCTTCTCATGTTTTATTGTTATCGAAGAAAGTTTTCCCTCTGACTCCTACATTTTACCAATTCTCGCATATTACCTATTATTGTTTACTGTTCTCCATTATTATTTCCCGGGCTTTTGAGAAAAGACTGTTGTATTGTGAAGAGTGCTGAAGGAAGATAGCAGGCTGTGTGGTCAGACTTTCGAGGTCATCATTAATATGGTTGTGAATAGACATCTAAAGTCTTGCAAACTCCTGGCAGGTGTTATCTTATCAGATACCAACCACCCCCTTCACTCATATCTTTCTCCTTCTATATTTTCTGGTAGAACGAGACGTAATAACATTAAAATTCATGCACGCAAGCAAAAGCATAAAAACTTCTATAATACCTTACCTAGCAAATATACTCTGTGACAAGCAGGTTGTTAGAGTCAACCTAGTCAATAACCTGTATTCTTAAACATGTTTTTAATTTGGAAAGTTGTATAGTTCCAGATCCTTTTCACCTTTTTCCTCTACTTTTTGTTGTTTTGCCTTTGTAAAAGAAACTTGTTGAAATACCCTGTGCTGAGAATTCTATATATATAATATTGAATAAAGTCATTAATTATAATAATACTATCCCATTATCTTTCATTGTAATCCAATAGGTTACTTTCTTTCCTAGTTGGCTGTTTTTGTTACATACTCTCAGGATTATAGTAATGATAGTGTACACGAATTTGCCAACTATAGTATTATCTCACTGAAATTCCAAATGTTTCTTGAATACTTTTCGTTTTTCTCTCTCTTTCTTTCAATTACTTGAGGGAATCATTATTGGTAAAGTGTTTTGGGATGAATTTTTGAGCTGTTCACTAGTTTCGGGAGATATCTTCTAGTTATTCGAAATTTAAAATAATCGTAAGTGATCTCAAAATGGAACAGAATCTACCTGTGTTAATTTTGTGATTTTCTAATAAGTATAAAATAAGATGAAACATTAATATAGGATATCATAGTAACTACCCCCAGACCTCTAACATCTCAACACAGTGAACATGATGCTGAACCATTAGCAGCAATAGACATATTACAACACAATCGATTTAACATGAATCGTAAAAAAAGACAAGACTAACATAAAGTCATTTTATGACTGAGACTATGAATTGATGATTATAGGAACACCATTGAAATCCCGCATGTGGGATCGTGAATGCGCACTGTTGAAGAGTCCCACAATAGGACGAAATGGCCGTGCAGTGCTCGCAGGTTTCCAACGATAGTCTAACATCAATCGGTTCATGATCTCAATCATAAACAATATCAAATAAATTAACAAGAAATTTCTTAAACACTCACTTCTTTAAAACGTTTTCTATGATCAATAACAATTTCCACCATGACAATAAGTAAATAACTTGATATTTATTGTCTTGATTATTCTGCTAATTATAAAACATTTTCAAATAGTGAACATGAAGGTTTATACAATCTATGAATAGTTCAATTGTTTTCAATGATTCCATTCATAATTAAACAATGAAATCAATTCGATTAAAGTACATTAAACAAGACTTTGTTCTATTAATGAATATGATCAAACTTTATAACTATTCATTGTTTCTTTACTTATCATATAAACAGATTGACTTAATGCTTATGTAATGAATAAAAGTCATTATTCTTTTGTTTTTCTAATATAAATCATTTGAAGAGAATATTTATGCTCGCGCGCGAAGCCAGTAGGTCCTGGGTTCGAATCCCGCAGGGGGCGGGTTCGTGGATGCGCATTGCTGAGGAGTCCCATACTAAGACGAAACGGCCATCCAGTGCTTCCAGGTTTTCAATGGTGGTCTAGCTTCAACTGACTCATGATTTCAACCTGTGAAATTTACTAAAATCTCCACAAAACTCATTCTGACTACAGATTATTATTATAAGATTTACTGTTATACTCAGTTATTTGATTACCGTCTCCCACGTTCACAGCCACTTTTTGTCTTGATCTTGTATAAATGTTATATTCTATTTTATGGTGTGATGTGATCTGTTTGTTTTCTATATAAACCCAATATGTTACAAATACATGATTGGTGTTCTGGACTCAACATGCAGGGTCGGACGGGAAAAGGAACCGGTAAGGATTCTAGACTACTCGTACGGAATCGTGAGTCATTTGGTCCGGTCGGTTATATATCATTAGGCACAAGATCACAAGTTATAACAGTTAGGTTCTTATTAAAGTGCTTATAACCTTAATATCTTAAAATCAACGTTATTACAGATATTGACATACTTATAAACACGAAGATGGTTAGAGATGAATATGTGTATCATGATTTAGCGAAGATCCCAATAGACTTAATAAGGTCATAAAAATTTTGTTTCGGATAAGTAAAGTTTGGGCGGGAAAGTTCCAAAACATTGAACTAGTAATTAGAACTTATAGAGTTAACAAACATTTGGTGATTGTGTGGTGAAGTAACTAAAAAAAGATTAATGGTAATAAAGAAATATATGAAATGAAATCAGTCAGTTATGAATTAAAGAAAAAACAGGAATACGTTCATATCCATTTTCGGACAGGTTTAAGAAGCACCTTTATCTGTCCCTTATTTCACAGTCCAGAATATTACGTCTTCCGATGGCCTTATGCTCCATGAAGAACTGTTCCTAATACAAAGTCTAAATATATAGCGTTTTTCGTCAGTCGACGGAGTTCCGTAGTTTTGTGTGCCGCCTCCACGAAATTGATATTGTTTTGTTCACGAAGATGAGCATTTGATTGGAACAAGCCTGACCATTTTCGCCTCTTCACTAATAACAGATCTTGTATATATCAATGAAATCTTTCAACTGACGCTTCCATTACTGATGGATAATGTTACATTCTAGTATATCCATGACTCTACTAAAAACGAAACCTAGGACTATCGGTCTCGAGCACGAACACTTAACCTCCAGACTACCAAGCTGAAACATCTTGTATTAACTGAGGTGAATAAGTCTCACTAGAAGCCTTGGAATCAGATCTACGAGTTAGTCACCAGTGAACGTAGGATTATTATTATTATTATTATTATTATTATTATTATTATTATTATTATTATTATTATTATTATTACAAGGGTTTTGCTCGTAGAAATGTTTAACGCTGAGTATTCACGACTACTTATGGAATCGATGTCATTAAGAACAGGTTTCAAACTGAGCAAGTTATCACTAAGCCTTCTAAATCCTTAATAATTGTTTACAACTTCTTATTTGTCATGATTACCGCCTAGTGACAGACAAATCTTTATATTATTTATTAACTTAGTTAAATCAACAGATAGCTTTTACCTTTGAATACCCATATAAGTGAGTTTATCGGTCACTCAGTGATTTATGATGAAAGAACCGTTGTTAAATCTAAAAATAATTCTATGTTTTTTTATAAAATAAAATTCAGTTGAATGACAACATTTCATCAGGTGGTACAAAATTTTTAACAATTGAATTAACAAACCGATCTATGCTAGACAACTAATGGAAACATGGAAGCACTGGACGGCCGTTTCGTCCCGGCACAGAACTCCTCAGCAGCACATCCCCAACCCGTACACGAGACTCGATCCCAGTACGTCCGGTCATATGAGCGAAGACCCAGCCTTTGAACCACCGCTTCTTCACGCCAATTCAGAATGATTATTCTTATATGTTGTTTTAAAATAAATTATTTATCTTGATCCTGTAACGTAAAACAAAATTTCATAAGAAAACAAAAGCATTACTATCCAAGTTACGCTACTTTAGTTAGTTATAAATGTAATTTAAAAAGTCATATAATAAAAAAGGAGAAAATCCTAATTTATATGAAAAAGACCACTTTATGTATCCTAATATTCAATAACTTTTTGTTATAATGCTCGGTTTTACTTCGTCTACACGTATGGGACGTTAATTTATCTTAGACGAATATCTACACTAGATTCCTTCCCAGTGTCTATTCTACAGGACGTCAACACAATTCAGATCAAAAACACATGATTAGCTTGACCACAACATAAATATATTTCCACACCAGTACCCGAACACAATCCAACAACAATGAACAATCAATCAATAATAATAAGGATAAGGGAATATATAACTCATTTGACACCTATCCGACTATCTAAATGTCTGACTAAGCAAACAACCAATCATTATCATTCTCGTCTACACAACACTTTTGTTTGATCTAATAATACTCTATTTTGAATTTTACCTCATATTAACATTGTATCCCTGTTTAAACATGAATCAAACTGTATAATAATTCAATTCAATACTGATTAATGTTTTAGTAGATTAATAACAGGTTTTGTACAAGTTTTTTTTACACTTTTCAACAAAAGTTAAGAACAGAAAAAGTACCACATGATGGATATCAATCAATAATTCTTCACATTATTCTATCATTGAAAGAATGTGAACAAAACAACAAAAGAAAATAAACAAAATTACTAAATAGATGAATTTGAGATTAGTATCAGGAGGAGTTTTGTGGAGATTGTATTAATGTCAACAGTTGAGATCATGAGTCAATTGAAGCTAGACCACCATGGAAAACCTGGAAGCATCGGACGGTCGTTTCGTCCTATTGTGGGACTCCTCAACTTATTATACACTATGATTTTAAAAATATGGGAGACTTTAAGTCAGATGGTGGAGAAGATTTGTAGCTTAGGTGGATGATTTTGGTGGTGTTTTGTTCTCTGAACTGGATGGTTTGTTCGTGGAGCTTTCATCGTTCTTCTGAACGACATCATCCGCAGCACAAACTTCAGATAGAAGTGAAGTGTTCGAATTTCTCCATATGCGTTTCACAGCTTGTTCTGTACACCTCGACGTTGATTGATTCTTACTGACCTTAAATTTGTGATTGTTTACTTCTTTGTTTTATCAACCAATCAGGAAAATTATGCACAAATCTAGGAACAAAAATCAAACCAATGGGAGACACAACCAAAACGAAGAAGTAAACAATGATAAATTTAAGGTCAGTAAGAACCAATCAACGTCGACGTGTACAGAACAACCTATGAAACGCATATGGAGAAATTCGAACACTTTACTTCTATTTGAAGTTTGTGCTGATGATGTCGTTCAGAACAACGACGAAAGCTCCACGACTAAACCATCCAGCTCAGAGAACAAAACTCCATAAAAAAAGAAAGACTATAAGTCTACAGCTTATGTAATTTCTTAAATTCTATTAATACTTCACGAAATATTTTGCTGAATAATGAACTTGTAAAGTTTAATGTTTTACTGAAACATAATAGATCTGGAGTTTCAGTTAATGCTTAGTTTGTTCAAATGTCACCTTAATTAATTTTTGTTTGAGTAATTGAGTAGTGTTATTAGCTCCTACACTTAGGGAAGATACTAGACCTATTTCAGTTATGAAGCAGATATATGGGAAAAGGCAGAAATTAAGATAAATATACGGGTTTCTTCTATCTAGATTTTAAAGTGTACATACCACAACTGATTGATCACTGAGTACTGTTCAGTTTTATGCTTGTCTAGTTCCTTAGTATTGATCGAGTCTTTTCGATCAAGGTGCATTGTAGCCACTAATCTATGTGATTCAGTATCGCCATCACTATATTAAGATATTAGGTGATTGGAGGTACCTCAATGGTAACGTCCCACACAGTGAAGCAAGGTGATGTGAGTTCAAATTCTGTAGGGAGCAAGAGTCCACTTATGATTGCAGATGCATCTTGGTAACGAGTGCCAATTACCATGAAACCTATTTTCAGGGTTTTCTATCAACTACTTCCAACTAACTAAAATCTTAACACAGTGCACGCGAAGTCTAGTCACTTAGACTAGTGGCCACTTTGCAACTTGAACGATAGAATTTGATTAGTACAAAGGGACCAGGCACACATGAAATTGTCCACTACTCAGTGATTAATTAATTGTAAACACCTCAGTCCTATAGGAAACAAGCGGCGGTCATGGTCTGCAGATTTTTAATGCTTAACCAATTAAACAAAATTGGTATGGCATACTGCATTAATGAAAGGTTGAATACCAAAAGTGCTTGCAAATCAAGTTTATTTTCTGAATACACAAACTGACCCATATGACAATAAGTTATATTGACTAGTTTAATAATTCATTCATTACAGCTCTCCTGAACTTGTGCCGCACTTACAATGTAATCTTTAAACATCAATTGTCGTTTTCGTTTCTAATAGGGTACAGTATAGACATTTAACAATAATCATTCAAAATTATAGTGGATACTTCACCTGAATCCCTCCTATAGATACTGCTGGTCTCCGGCTCGAATAAAAGAAGAGGATTGAGCACAGGGTCTCCAAGCCCATTTCATAGAAACAACCTCGCTAAAAAAACCCTTACAAGAAAAAAACTATCTTGACTATGTAAAACATCATCACCATCATCCAAAATTCATACAACGGACTACAGTGCAATATGGTGCATGGAGAACAGCTGATAGACGCATTCCAGATGAGGACAAGAGTCAAATAAGACTGCTCACTATC